GATCATTCGACGCACCTTTCGGGCATTGCTCGCAATAACCTCTAAATAATTTATAGGGCCCATGTCAGACCGATTCTTGAATATGCCATCCAAGCTGCCCAGTCCAGACACATGAAAGGCTTTAACTCCAGTGAGCGTATCCACAGAGCTGCTACGAAAATGGTTGTTGGTCTAATATTCACCGATTGTGAAACGCCTTCGACGGTGCTTGACCTCTTTCTTCTGGATTGCCCTCGCCTCTGAGGAGACCTAACACTTACGTCCTTTTCAAATAATGTTTCGCCGTAAGGTTTTTCACAGCTGCTCCAACTAACACACGGTGGGACATTGTGAGAAGAGTTTCAAGCTTAGAGGGCACGCCATTAGGAGGCAGCAATTTTTGTACTTGCGAGTATCTGGGATGACCTTCCTCCGACAGTTGTTCACGCCGTATTTAGTAACTCATTCAGAGCAAGTTTAGCCGTATTTCTATTTGGGTCCTCACGCCGGAAAATTTTACCTCGCGCCTAGAAGTACAAGAGCCGTTGTGCTCTTTTTTCGATGGTGCGTTTCAGGCAAATATCAACTGTTAGACACCAGGAATAAGCCATACCCGCAAAGCTTGAGCGATAGTCTTGACCCGGTGTATCGATTCGTGTATCGGTAAATATTTGGACCATACTCTTTATGGTATCCGCGGAGCCTAGGTTCTGAAGGTGCTTTTGGAGCCTAAAGCATGTGAAATACATTTTCAGCCGTCCCCAGGTTCTGTTGCAACTGTTGAATTTTTCATGCATCGTAAACCTGGAATAATTCAGTTCGAAAGGCCTGCTCATAGTTCTCGAACCAAAGCTTGAAATTCATCCAGATTTAAGGTCCAACTTTGATGCAGTGTTCTAGTTGGTAGGATCTCAAGTGTTTTTATCCTATTCACTGACGCAATGAGCAGCAGAGATTTGATGAGCCTTATTTGAGCTTCCCTTAACTATTTCCGTTGCCGTGGTGAAGTTCCCCTTGGTTGCTGCCGAATGTGACATGTTTGGGCCTGGCTGTTTTCATCTGTGGCCCTGCAAACAATGTTGTGATTGCTCCTACCCGTGATTCTCCTCCATTTCTAATTTTAAAGGTTTTGTGGTGGTTCTAATTTTTTCCGAGTACCCCTTACAGTTTTGTGCTTTTATTAATTTCCGCGCTATGCAGCTGAATGAACGTGTTTTCCTTCAGACTTTAAATGGCATTACTTGCAACTGTTTCGCCTTTCATAGTAATGATGAATTTATTTGTACCCTAATTTTACATTCTCTTAAAAAATAAAGCTAACCCTTAACCATGGGTTCCAAACTATCAAAAATATTTTGTTAATATGAGTTTACCCATGGTAGCGCCTCTCCCATATGTACTTGCGGTACTCGGGTTTCTAGACAAAAATCATTTGAGTACCGGGTGTGAAGAGTGGTTTTAGGGTGAACGAACAATCTGTTAGCGGAACATTGGTGATTACGATGCGGTGGAACGTGCTCTAATCATCAAAGTGGGAGTTCCTTCAAACAGCATCATGCGCGTTGTAGTAGCCATTAAGAAGTTTGCTACGCTTCACGAAAAATTTTAATAGAGCCTTTAAAGGTTTACTCTAAAACTGTCCGGTTCTGCGCGGTGCTGAACTCCAGTGACGACACTTTATACAAGCAGCCACAGACATACTTTGTGCAGCGCAATGGTGTCCTCGAGAGATAATTTTTTGTGGTGACCAGTTCATTTTTAGAAGACGCAATCCCAAACATTCGCTCACTGGTGATGGGGCAGAGAAACGCTGACCCTAGAAAACTTCCAAAACGTACACATACTTGACCCCTCCACGAATTTTTCACTCACGTGTTGGGAAAGTGTGTGGCTATAACACCAGTTTATTGGAAATTTCAAATGTCGCTTGACTTATGGAGATTGGCCGTCTGCGATGTTGCCTTCACTTGTGTGGACCATTGAACAAACATGTCCTCAATGTGGAAACAAGCAATTCCGATTGTTCAACTGTGCCTTATCTCTAAATAAAAAAATCCTGAGAATCCTGGCTGCGTTGCGAGCCAGACTTAGGGCACATTAATCCACTCATCCCTAAATGAATTATGTGACGACAGCGTCAGAGTGGAAGCTTTCCGAAGTGGGTCATTATCACTCTATTTTTGCCAATTCGGATATTATCAGAAACCTCAAATCGTTATAAAGTGGGCGTACACCAGAAATAGGTGGTGTGATACCGCATTTCTGGTGCATCCATGCAGCAAGTATGAAAGTACAGCACGAAAGAGATCAATGTAATGACTAAAGTAAAAGGCTTAGGCGCCGTCTTGTTCAGATTGTTGGACGCGAAATTCCGCTGGCAGTCGGCCTGCACCTTGAGCCTGGTCAACACTTTATTAACGAAGTTTTTCCCCTTTCAAGATTGAGTTCCTCTGACCCCTGTCTGTCAATCAGGAGTATGCTGCAGGCCCTGCTTTTTAAGGAGTTTGCAGGCGGCGTGGTTAAAAGGAGAAGTAAAAAACCAGTCTCAAGTACAGTTTTGCCACGGCTCATGGAGAGTGTGATAACTGTTTTACAATGACACTTGTAGCTTTAGCTAAAATGTGCTGTGCGGCTACTCACCCGAGTACCACAGCAGATTTCATTGAAAAATCACTCCGGTCGTAGTTAATGGGAGCGTTTGATCATGGTCCCGGAAACTGAAATCTGCGACGTGAGAGGGCCGCGGATTGACAAAAATTTAGGTTTATATGATGACTTTATTAAAACATTCATATTTCTGCATGTGTCTCACTCTCTTGGCCGTGCACCGTGCTGTCGTAACCATACTTTCACTGGGCATAAGTTTCCTCCCTTCAAGTAGTTGCTGTGTGGAATAGCCTTCCTCCGATAGTTGTCCACGCTCCACCAAGCACCCATTTCAAAGCACCATTAGATACTTTTTATGCGAGTCCTCATGCTGGCAAACTTGCCGCGTGTAGAAATTAAATAGCAGTACCACCTTCGTTTTTCACGTTTTCAGGTAAATGGCAGCCGCTGAACGAAAAAACAAAACCGACCCAAGAAACTTGGGCGTAAGCCTCGATCCAGTGTAGCGGTGCATGAATCCGTGAAGCAGTTGGTAATTAGGCGTTGCATTCGGTTATACTGCACATGCCGTGAGGTTAGGTAGTCAGATTGAGTACTGTGGGAAGCCGACAAATATGCCTCAGTCAATTTTGGCTGCAACCGTTAGCCTCGTCCGGCTACAAGGGGTTTTGAAATATTTTTGAACAAAGCGAAGAAAAAGTTGGGCTGAAATCTCTTCTCGCTATCTTTGATTGACCGTAGACGTCACCTGTGTCAAGCGTTATATGCCACCGATGTTTGCCACCCTTGGCCAGCGATGGCAACCGGTGGTGCCACCGGCAGCGTGTTTACTGGACAGCTTATGGATGCTTGATCCTGATTAGCTAAAATTCTGGCCAACCAAAGCAGGCCTTTGTCCGCTCTCTAATATGCTCGCGACATCCGTCCGGTCGACGTGACGGTCCTTCATATTGAACGCCTGGTCTTCTGAAACTGCAACCGTGACAGCTCCAAAGAAAGTTTTATGACGCTTTGAGCGCCCTGTTACGTTGGGCTAAGAGCCCCGATATCGTTGTGGGTTCAAGAGGTTGGCATGAATATGTGGGCAGCATTCTGCCCATCTGAGATCCAATTAGCTGATCGACATGTATCAAACTCGTTATATACGGATAACGGCAAATGACTGCTTTAGCTGTGCGCTGACGCTCGGCTGCTTTTTTGCAGCAATAACCTCCGAATTAGCCGAAGTCGACTGGCCTGACGTCCTCAAACGGCGCGCCGCAGCCACGCAACCCACGGGTCCATTGCAATAGACATCGCCGATAGTGCGAGTCAATAATTGGCCGTCGCTCATTTTGGAATAAAATTAGGCTCCCCACCACGCTACATATTACAGTTGTTCGCTGTTATTGGACTACCGGGCGATAGTCGCTGAGCAGAGCACTGAGAGAACGGAAAGCAGAGAAAAATATATTGGATGTGTAAAAATAAATGTTTCACAGTAAGACCACTTCAGTCCGAAGGCAAGTCCAATGTGATAATCACGGCTTCTTGGTTGAATGCAGACGTCTGAAACAGTGACAAAACATATGTATAAGCATTCGATATATCGGTTACTACCGATAAACCTGTCCGAGTGCGAAGTCGAAACTTACTGTCAACTGATCCAGGCGCGTTCTCTGTGCCAGTCGGTGCCGTGTGTTACCGAACCACTTTTGGATTTCTTTGTCCAAATCCTGTTTGGGTGCAGTCTTGGGAACTGTTTCTGAAACGCCAGTTAGCAAGATGTCTCTGATCACTTATCTTCGATCAAGGTGCAGAATCTTGTGTAGCGAAAAGGGAGTTTGTCCGCGGACTCAGCGTGGGCTACACTGATGGCGAATTCGCCAGCCAACGCCTGTCTGAGACATAGATTCACCAGGTCCGCCATGGTGGTTGCACTGAAGGACCCGAAATACTTCACCTGTGGCCAGAAAATTAGATCAAAAACACGCCATTTCCAATTGGCGTGGTCTCTGTCAGCTCACCTTCCAAGTTGTTCCACGCACTTATGTTTCGGAGGGGGAAAGTGAACCGGCAGTTCCAGCAGAACTATGGACTGGCAACAGTGAGTTGTCAATGCGAATCTTCAGATATCGAAGATCTGCCGTCGCGTCCATTTTTCGGAGGGGCTGTTCGTTCTGCTGGAGTGATGCTGCGACTCCTGGAGTTTGAAAAGTGGGGCAGATTGTGGGGATGAAATGGGAAACACAGGGATCTCTGGGGCGGTGTTTACGGCATACTGTGGCAGACGGTGGGGCTCAGGATTCGCGTGGAACAAAGCGCGGGGAGGCGCCTGCGAGAAGATGGGATAAAGCGGGTGGTGTGGCACCATCAACCTTGGTTTCTTTGGAAATGGACTGATGGACAGAGAGGGGCTCCGTTCTTTGATATTCCTAAAAGAAGTCTTCACAACACGCACGGTAGTCTTGCTTTCGACGCAGATGGTTTCGGCCCATCTGAACGGTCACATCTGAAGTGTTCAGGCCCGATGTATACTGGAACTTCTTCTTGTGTTCGAGTGCCTTTTTGAAGTTATCTGAAAAGTTGATGCGGTCAACGTGGCACCTACCGTAAGTCTGAATGACTTCGCAAGTCAGCTTCATCGATCCAGCTGATGGCTCCAAATGAAGGTGAACGGCCTTATAAAAGTCCTTTGAGTGAACCTTTGGCCATATAGCACAGTTACCCTCAATCCATGAAGAACTGATGACTGCGCACTGCCATAGGCCTTGTTCATAGAACTTCACTAGACTGTAAGCCTGGTGCGGCATGTGGAATTACAAAGGTTTTACCATATAGAGTGTAATAATGGAAAAACTACAGATAGGTCATTAACTGGAAGCATGGCGCATTTGCATTGCACAAGGGGGACATTGCACGAGAGGAGACAGCTACTTACAACTGTGGGCAATTTGTTAACCATAAAAATATTTAGCAAAAGGGAATTGAAGGAATGGACGAACAGTGGCGAAACGGGGGAACGAAATGGAACACACGTTATTATGCAGTCGGCAGTGTCGGGATGTTCCACCCCTGTCACCAATACAACGTTACCAGGCTGACTGGTAGATAGGGCAACTTTACCAAATTAAAAGAAACGTTTTTCGTTTAGTGACACATGTTTCAAGGAAAATCTCACATCGCAATCGGCATGGTTACCTGGAGCGTTTAAGAGATACGGTCCTGACTCTTTCAGGCGTCTATAAATCTGCCGAACAGGATATGTGGGACTTTGTACAAGGTGCTTAAGTATGAACATGTAAGACTCACAGGGAAACGCTGAAAACTTGTCCACAGGCCCGTGAGACGAGACGTCGTCAGCAGACAACGTGCAGCAGACAATGGTCATTGTACACCACCTCCTGCAACCCATACAGTTTCTGGAACTTGTCAACAAATACCATCAATAATTGTCATGAATAATCAAGACGGGAAACAGAATAGCGACGATGGGAAAGCAAATACACACATATAAGTAAGTCTATAAAATTTTGATAACGTTCATGGAGAAGAATGCCCTTAAACACAATCGGACCAATGTAAGAAAAAGTTGGGCTGAAATCTCTTCTCGCTATCTTTGATTGACCGTAGACGTCACCTGTGTCAAGCGTTATATGCCACCGATGTTTGCCACCCTTGGCCAGCGATGGCAACCGGTGGTGCCACCGGCAGCGTGTTTACTGGACAGCTTATGGATGCTTGATCCTGATTAGCTAAAATTCTGGCCAACCAAAGCAGGCCTTTGTCCGCTCTCTAATATGCTCGCGACATCCGTCCGGTCGACGTGACGGTCCTTCATATTGAACGCCTGGTCTTCTGAAACTGCAACCGTGACAGCTCCAAAGAAAGTTTTATGACGCTTTGAGCGCCCTGTTACGTTGGGCTAAGAGCCCCGATATCGTTGTGGGTTCAAGAGGTTGGCATGAATATGTGGGCAGCATTCTGCCCATCTGAGATCCAATTAGCTGATCGACATGTATCAAACTCGTTATATACGGATAACGGCAAATGACTGCTTTAGCTGTGCGCTGACGCTCGGCTGCTTTTTTGCAGCAATAACCTCCGAATTAGCCGAAGTCGACTGGCCTGACGTCCTCAAACGGCGCGCCGCAGCCACGCAACCCACGGGTCCATTGCAATAGACATCGCCGATAGTGCGAGTCAATAATTGGCCGTCGCTCATTTTGGAATAAAATTAGGCTCCCCACCACGCTACATATTACAGTTGTTCGCTGTTATTAGACTACCGGGCGATAGTCTCTGAGCAGAGCACTGAGAGAACGGAAAACAAAGAGAAAAATATAGTGGATGTGTAAAAATACAAAGGTTTTACCATATAGAGTGTAATAATGGAAAAACTACAGATAGGTCATTAACTGGAAGCATGGCGCATTTGCATTGCACAAGGGGGACATTGCACGAGAGGAGACAGCTACTTACAACTGTGGGCAATTTGTTAACCATAAAAATATTTAGCAAAAGGGAATTGAAGGAATGGATAAACAGTGGCGAAACGGGGGAAACAAATGGAACACACGTTATTATGCAGTCGGCAGTGTCGGGATGTTCCACCCCTGTCACCAATACAACGTTACCAGGCTGACTGGTAGATAGGGCAACTTTACCAAATTAAAAGAAACGTTTTTCGTTTAGTGACACATGTTTCAAGGAAAATCTCACATCGCAATCGGCATGGTTACCTGGAGCGTTTAAGAGATACGGTCCTGACTCTTTCAGGCGTCTATAAATCTGCCGAACAGGATATGTGGGACTTTGTACAAGGTGCTTAAGTATGAACATGTAAGACTCACAGGGAAACGCTGAAAACTTGTCCACAGGCCCGTGAGACGAGACGTCGTCAGCAGACAACGTGCAGCAGACAATGGTCATTGTACACCACCTCCTGCAACCCATACAGTTTCTGGAACTTGTCAACAAATACCATCAATAATTGTCATGAATAATCAAGACGGGAAACAGAATAGCGACGATGGGAAAGCAAATACACACATATAAGTAAGTCTATAAAATTTTGATAACGTTCATGGAGAAGAATGCCCTTAAACACAATCGGACCAATGTAAAACAGCAGTTGATGAGACTGTCGCTTCCCGCTGTTTGTACAGTGTAATTTTCCGGCACGCGAGCGAAAAACCCGTGGGCATATGGGGACGTATATTTGGAATAATGCGATCTACCCTGCTCAAGCCAGCAAGCCCGAAGCGTGTCGATCACGTTTGTACAGTGTAATTTTCCGGCACTTACGCGAAAAACCCGTGGGCATATGGGGACGTATATTTGGAATAATGCGATCTACCCTGCTCAAGCCAGCAAGCCCGAGGCGTACTGGTCGATCACGTGATTCGAAGTGGTCTGCTGTTATGCGTAGACGTACAATGATAACACCGGATCGCCGGATTTATTGGGTCATCTCCATAAGCGGCCAGAAGGTTGATGTGCAGCAATATGTAAGATTCGGTTTCCAGGTCTTTATTCCTGCAACGGGTCCTACGATTTGCACGCTTAACCGTGTGACTACGAGTATAGGTCGTAACGTTACATTCATGTATTTTTTGTTAACCCCAAACCGTTCACGATCATTTGACCGTAAATATCGGTTAATAGGTGGTTAAGAAGCAGTCAGGTAGTCCTTCTAAGAAGAAATTCGCTACAATGCTGTTATTCAGGGTCTCTGTAACCACTCAGTGCGGTTGTTGCGTGGTTCGTTTACTGTTAAGCCGTAATGAGGTGGTAGTCTAATAACAGCGAATCACGGCAATATGGTGACTATTTCACCGTTATATATAGCTGAAATGCGGCTTAATGACGCTTATGTAACCCTCCAATAACCGGAAAACTCGGTTATTTAGGACTGCTGTTGCTGCTCGGGGTGCTCATCCGGAGCGGTTTCTCGCTTATTTTCCCAGGAATACGTAAGGTTTAGATGAATAGCTTAGTAACTGAGAAACACGCAGGTCTCGAATTGGACGAATTTACCAGAACTGTTTTCTGGACTCTTACAACTTCCTCGCTGTCTAATGTGAATTCGTACAGGAACGAGATCGCTATATCCTTGTGCAGTGCCAGGTCTTCCACCATGTCCGCTGGGGCACTGGATATCAGAGAGGACAGTGGCGCCACTTTAATTACGGAATTTCCTAATTCAACCCGGTGAACTATCATACGCCATGTCAGGCTCGCTGCGCGCCGATCGTGAAGCATGATGGATAAGGAAGGTTGAGGCCGTGGAAGAGACGCAGAACGACGGGATTGCCAGAAGAGAATTTCAGTTGATCCTTGCGAGTGGGCCCCGGAAACCGCATGTGGGCGAAATAATCAGGGGTTGCTACCATCTGCTACAAAGTAGAACACTTCGATCTCTGGACCAAGCACTTTGAACCACAATTTTCATAACCAACCCCTACCACTTATTTTGATCTTACTATCTTACTGTAACCCTGGATGGTCAACCCGGAATCCCTCATGGCCTCTGAAGCTTAAAGATGCATGTGTTTTCCAAGCTGCTGGTCGGGATGACATTCGCATTTTCAAAGATCCAGAGATCTGATCTATTTGCGCGCATCTGGGGAAAGGAGACTGCCCTTAACGAATAAAAAACCGGTAATAGTGACCATTTAAGAACGACCCGCAGTGAGTGTGGTAATCACAGGGGGTCAGTGTAACTCCAGCCGTAGCGAGACAGTCGGCCTCACTTGTCCTACATCGCCTTACGGTGGCCCGTGAAACATTGACTCTAGGGCAGCGAGCAGGATCCCATCCTGGTAAGGGTTACGTTGACCAGCTTTTCACACTTCATCAATTGCTAGAGCGACGCCATAAGCATAATCGACTCAGAATTTCACTATTCCTGGAATTCCAAGCCGCATTCCACTTGTTTGATTGGCCCGTTCTTAAGACGCCTGCCGAACTAGGAATGCTCCTGAGGTTTGTTAACATAAGTTCTTTTTATTTTCAAACTTCCGGGAGTGTTAGAGTATATGGATAGCTCTTGAAAAGCTTTCCAACACAAATAATATCCGTCAAGGGCGCCCACTCTTCATTCCTACTTAGCCTCATGATGGACGAGCTACTGAGACGAACGCTGGTAGGGCTTTGAAACCATGATGTTCAAAGAGATGCAAATAAAAACTGTGTCGATCTGGAATGTGCTCAAGGATAGTCTGAAGAGGAGACATAGGCGACATTTTTCGATGTATTGGTTGGATCCATCCCGTTCTTTTGCATGCTATTTGCACCAACAAAGTGAAAGACTATGTTTCTGAGCATGCAGTCATTGAGTCCATCATTCTTTATTTGAGGAGAAGTACTCGAAAACGAGCGATTTACGCATTCTGAAAGATGTATTATTTCCGACTATAGTGGTTGATGCACGAATGTCTGGGGCTTGGGTCTTGTTTTCTAGTTTGGGCCATCAAAGCGGCTTGTTCCTGAACCTCAAGAGATTAGGCTGTATCAGGCTACATTACGGGCTGTTTTGTAGTGTGGCTCCGAAGCATGGCCTCTTCGAGCAGCGGAACTGAGACATCGTCGGGTCTCCGACCACCTTTGTCTCTGAAGCGTAGCTAGTGTAGCTTGATACTGGCGAATTCGCAACGAGGTAATTAGAAAGCGAGTGTTCGGTTGTGCAACGGGGTCTCTCATGGAAGACCATGTCCAGCACCATAAACTGCGTTGGGTAGACCATTGTTGCGCATGCTGAATCATCGCTTGCCCAAATCGGATTGGTGCATACAGAGGTGGTCAACTTGTG